GCATATAAGTTAAATAAGCAGGGTGACAGTATACAGCCTTGTCGTACTCCTTTCTCTATTTCATATCAGGGTGGGGCTGTTCAAATCCCCAGGAGGGATGCTGTCAGGCACCACGACAGAGAAGTCATGCTTCCTAGCCCACACAGAGGCAAGACTTAATAGATAGGCTCTTGACCATGCCTGCTGTGTTGGATCTCACAGGATGGGCAGAAACAGTGGGAGAATGTAATGGTGTGTGGGAATGACCTTAGGAGACAGGAGGAAGAGCTGCAGAGTAGGCAATGATCAGATAAGAGGCAGTTGAGCCTGCAGAAGGAATGAGGGTGTGGCAAACATCTCAGAAGGGACCCTCCCTGGTTTCCTGGGATGTAAAGGTGAGAAAAGAGGAATGTATTTCTAGACTTGAAGGGTTCTGTTAATGTAACCTTGCAATGAAGATAGTGCTAGTACTTCTGGGTGTGCTTTTGTCTGGACTCAGAAAGCTGAAAAGGAAAGTCCCTCAGATAGGCAGGCCTGATGCTATGAAAGGCTGTCTAGATGACAATCATCACCTTGAATTGTACCCAGAAACTCACTAGTAACCAGTGCAGCTTGAAAAACCAAGTATACAGTATATGAATCAGTGGATGTGTACGTATATCGGTGGACGTGGTGGAAGCAAGGATGGTTTGCAAGGAGAGGACCTCATATCTTTAAAATCTTTCAGCTTATTGTTTCTTACTCGTTTTCTGTTACGTCGCATAACATTGCTTACTCCAAGAAGGAACAACATGATGGGTGTATACGCATATTGCCCTTAAAATATGTAATAGTAAAAAATGCTAGAGTATTTTCTAACACTTCATGCGTATTTCACTCTTCTTCATTTATAGATCATCCCTGGCTAATTTAGCCAGCTTCCACCTCTGCTGCACACATTTAAGGAACACAGTTGAAATGCCTTTAGGGAAATTGTTAAAACTTCTGCTGGTGTATTTATGCTGGCAACACTATTGCAGATATGCCATGCCTGGTTGCAAGTACACATTGGCACATTCCTAGGATTTACATCAGCATCCTGCTATTTGGGGAGTTTGCTCTCTCTCTTTACTATTACATATTTTAAGGGCAATATGCGTATACACCCATCATGTTGTTCCTTCTTGGAGTAAGCAATGTTATCTGCTGGTGTATTTATGCTGGCAACACTATTGCAGATATGCCATGCCTGGTTGCAAGTACACATTGGCACATTCCTAGGATTTACATCAGCATCCTGCTATTTGGGGAGTTTGCTCTCTCTCTGTTTATGAAATGCAAACATTGTGGTTATAACATAAAGTTCAGATTGCATAATTCCCATTGAGGATCGTGAGAAAGCGCTACTGTTATGATTTCTAAACTTTTATAATGGCTTGTCAGGTATTGAGAAAGGCGTTGTTGAAACTGGCTTTCTCCAAATGCTGCAGAACAAGCTTGAAGCAAAAACAGCCATGGATTTATGTCACTGATTCTCAAACATTTTGGTCTCAGGACCCTTTACATAAAAATGATTTAAGGGCCCCAAAGAGCTTTGGTTTATGTGGGTGATACCTACTGATATTTACTGTATTAGAAATTAAAACTGAGAAATTTTAAAATATTTATGTGATTTTGCAGACCCCTTGAAAGGGTCTCGGGGTCCCCAGACCACACTTTGAGAACTGCTGATTTAGATGATACAACCAACTTCAGGGTTTTCCAGACGCCCATTCAAAAAAACCTTTTTGTGTGACTAGCTGAGCACCTCTGCTCAGCAAGCAGATCAAAGCAAGCATAGTTGTATCCAAATAATGAATCATTAAAAATAGGCTGGTGATGAGCCTAACTGAAATCAAGGAACATCAAAAAAGTTTTGTAGGTGTTGTTCAGTTTTTTATGACAGACTCAGTTGGATGCTATTATTGCTTCCTGGGCTCTTGGAAATAATCTCTCTGAATAATTGCATTGAAACCTGGTGTTCATAGAAAGACGAGAGAGCCAGTTTCGTGTAGTGGTTAAGACATCAGACTAGAAACCGGAAGACCAGGAGTTCTACTCCTTCCTTAGGCACGAAGCTTGCTGGGTGACCTTGGGCCAGTCCCTCACTCTCAGCCCTAGGAAGACGGCAATGGCAAACCGCTTCTGAAGTCTTGCTAAGAAAACTGCAAGGACTTGTCCAGGCAGTTGCCAGGAATCAAAACTGACTCGAAGGCGAAAGAAAGAAAGGAAGAGAGAGGGAGAGGGAGGGAGGGATGGAGGGAGAGAAAGAGAAAGAGGAGACAAACCATCTATGCCCACAAACTTAGGTTTAAATGCTCTTTACCAGAATCCTTGATGAATGTACTCAGCTGTACCTGGATAGGGGACCTCCAAAAAACCTGATGTAACTTATCCTCGGTTTCATTGTGGAAGAAAAACACAGTGTGATGTAATAAACATATTAATATAATATATTTATATATATATTATATAATAAACAAGAGATCAGGAGGTTTCTCAAAAAAAGAGTTACTAGAGAGGGACACCTGTTGCCAAAACAGAGGATCTGCTGATCTCAAATGAATAATGGGTAATACATTTTGACTTTCCTTTTTGTTTTTCAGAATTACCTTAGCAACCATTGGGGTACTGTCCATCATTGTGGGGACTACCCTGGTAGGAAAGCTGCCAAATGGAGAGTAAGTGGACCCACTTTTTGTTGGTAAAATTAACCAATCCGCCTTCTGGAATATAGATCACAAAACTGAGTAATGACAGTTTGAGGAACTTTCTTGCTATGGCGTGGGCATTACTGCAAGCATGCAAAATCTGCTCTCAGAATTGTTGAAATGTAGTATTAACAGTGCTTTTAAAATATAATCTGTAGTGCTGTGCAGAATCCTGAACTGAGGTGGAAGAAGACTTAAAACAAGGGAGAGTGAGATTTGGAAACGTGTTGCGTGTTGCTGAGGTTTTTGAAAGAGAAACTCTTCTGGAAGTGGGTGGTGGTAGAGGTAGAGGAGCGAATGTTAGAAGCGGGGATTTATTGGGGCCATGGAGGAGCTGATACTGGATCTACAGCTGGATCGTTAAGTGGATAGGAAGCAAGTATAAGGATCTTAAGGCACGGGGTGATCAGGGATGAGAAAAATGAATGATTTGGGAAACACAGTGCTGGATCAGCATGAGATGATCAAGTGAAAACCATGTAACTGCTATAATGTAGGTGAGAGATGACTTGAGTATGGGTGAGATTTTTTGTTTTCAGTGTTGTAGAGCAAGGGAGGTTGTCCTTTTTGGTGCCCCCTTGCACCTTCAGAAACCATATTTCTGAATTCATTAAAGCATTTATACTGCCGCCCAACTCAGAAAACATGACCCTGAATAACATATGAAAAAGAAAAAGAAAGAAAAAGCATAATCAACCAATACAGGTAGTCCTCCTTAACAATGGTAATTGGGACCAGAAATTCCATTGCTAAGCAACACGGTCGTAAAGCACATCATCACGTGACTGTGCTGCCTAGCGACAGCAGTTCCAGCACTTCCAGTTACCATCATTAAGTGAATCCCATGTGGGCCGTTAAGCAAGGAGCTCACATGACTGTGATTTCCTGCCAGCTTCCCCATTGAGTTTGCTCGTGGGAAGCCAGCAGGGAAGGTCACAAATTGCGATTACATGACCGCAGGACGCTGCAATGGTTGGAAATCCGGGCTGGTTACTGAGCGCCTAAATTGCAATTAAGTGACCATGGAGGCGCTGTGATGACCAGAACTTTGAGGACCAGTTGTAAGTACCACTCATTCAGCGCCTTCATAACTTCGAACAGTTGCTGAACGAGTGATTGTTAAGCAAGGACTGCCTGTACAAAACAAGCAATCAAGTTGTTTTAGTAAGGTTTTTATCTCTGTGTGTGTGCAGTCAAGTCAGCGTTGACTCCTGGTGACAAGTCCCTGCAGTTTTCTGGATAGATTTTGGAAGTGGTTTGCCCTTGCCTGCTTCCTAGGGCTGAGAGACAATGACTGGCCCAAGGTCACCCAGCTGGCTTCATGCCTAAGGTGGGACTGGAACTCACTGTGTCCTGGTTTCTAGCCTAGGCCTTAACCACTACATCAAACTGGCTGTCTTTAGTAAGTTAAGACTTACTAAAAAAAAAAAAATAGCAATCAGAGCTGAACTCTCCTATAACTTATCAAATAGGGAACTCTCTTCAACCTGAGCCCAAGGCCCAGGGAAAGAGCCAGGTCTTAATCATCCTTCTAAGTGCCTGCAGGGTTGGGACCAACCGTATGTCAGTGATGGGTGGGGGAGATAATTCCAAATTTGGAAAACAAATCACCCAGGAACAGAGGCGTGATAGCCTAACACATTTTGGGGGCCAGAAAACAATAAGAAAGTGTAAGGCTTTGTTCTAGGTTTAAAGTCTTAAAAAAGAAAATAGTGAAAAGCCATAGGTATTCTGCTGAAAAGGATGGACAGAAACATGAGGATCGGTAAGGAAAAGGGGAACAGGAAAACAGACTGCTTGGAGAAAAGACAAGTTCCATCATGGGCAAACTTGAGTTTGAGATGATGACAAAAGCAGTCAGGAGAACAACCCACAAGCTAGCTAGTTTGGTGTAGTGGTTAAGGCATCAGGCTAGAAATCAAAAGACTGTGAGTTCTAGTCCTGCTTAGGCACAAAGCCAGCTGGGTGACCTTGGGCCAGTCATTCTCAGTCCCAGGAAGGAGGCAAGGGCAAACCACTTCCAAAAAACCTTGCCAAGAGAACTGCAGGGACTTGTCCAGGCAGCCTCTGAGAATCAGACACAATTGAACAGATTAAAAATAAGTAAGTAAGTAAGTAAAGAGAGAGAGAGAGAGAGAAAGAAAGGAGAGAGAGAGAGAGAGCAAAAGAAAGAAAGAGAGAGAGAAAGAAAGAGAGAGAGAGAGAGAGAGCAAAAGAAAGAAAGAGAGAGAGAAAGAAAGAGAGAGAGAGAGAAA